GATGCTGGGGTTGAGCAGGGACACCCAACCCTGCAACCCAGGCGACAAGGGAGCCTTGGCCAGCACTATTTATAGCTGCTCACGCTCCGCTTTCTCCTTGACTGTCTTCCCTCTCAGCTGTCTCACGGGGTAGCAGCAGCAGGCGAAGCCATCCTGGCACCTGCTGGGACGTGGCACTGGGAGAGGGGGGCAGCTGCCATCCCCATGCCCTGAGAACCGTTTGGGGGAATGGAGATGGTGTTGGGATGGGGGGGATAGGAAGGAGGAAATGGGCTGCTGTCTCCGAGGTGGAGGGATGGAGAAAGGTCTGGGCCAGCAAGGTGTGGGTTGGTTTTCCTGCAGCTCCTATGTGGGCTAAAAGCCACATCTTAGGGAGAGCAGTGCTTTGCTATTCCTCTTTGATCCAATTGCATAATTCCCAGCCTGGTTCAGGCCCTGATTTCTTGCTGGGAATGTGGGTAGCATGGAGGAAATCTTAGTCCTGAGCTGAGTGCTTGCGTTGTCAGTCCCTCTGTTAGGTGGTATTTTGGGACATAGGTTTGGGGACCTGCATGTCTCTTGGTCCTTGGTCCCTGCCTATGGACAAGGACTTTCCATGACCCTGGGACTGGCCTGGTGCATCCCTTTGAACATGTGAAAAGGGCTCAGAGCAGTAAAAGTGGACTGGGGTGATACTGAGGTGAGGCTGGGGAGATGCTGCCATGTGCTGGGGAGATGCTTGGATGTACTGGGCAATGTTAGGACATGATGGGATTCACCCAGTTTGGCTGTAATTATGGCTGAATGAGTGCAAAAAGGCAAAGAGTGTTGTTTGTGCTCTGGTAACTTCCAGTAACTGGAAGCTGTTGTGTTACAAACCAGCCAAAAAGAGCAAAATTGCTGAGTGTGGGGATGGTGAGTAGGGATAGCAAGTGGCCATCGCTTGTGCCTCCAGTGCAGGACATGGGGCTGCCTCCTCCTTTTCCCCCTCCTCCTCTTCCTGCAGTGGCAGGGATTTGTGCAAAGCTTCCAGCACCCGGCTTGGGCTTTTTTTATCCCTGGCTGCTCTTCCATTGACATTCCTAGCTGTGCCACCGGCTTCAGCGCTGCTCGCTAACCCCTTTTACAGGCAGCTAAATATAGCCCAGGCAGCCAAGGAAAATCTGCTCAGCTGGGCACGTGGGGCTCAACAGCACTGCTGCAGCCTCGCACGGCGCTGGGAGGGCACGGGGTGGTGGCACCTTGTCCCCCATCCACGGTGAGCATCACGGCACTGTTTGTTCGGACGCACTCCGTGCATCTCTCTTTGTGCTCACTTCATGTGCTGCTTTCCACGGGCTTCTGCACACCTGCACTGTCCTGGTGGGGACACCCTGATGGCACTGGGGACACCCATCACGCTTGGGATAGAGCTACATCATGATGCATGGTGTGGGAAATGCACATGAAGAGCTGGGGAGACTTGTTCCTGATTTAGGAGCTGTTGCATCCCTGCGAAGCAATGCAGAGGGCTCAGCTCCAGAGTTGGGGTGAGCTGGGGGTGGCAGGTGCTGAAAATCACAGCCATCTGAGAATCATAAAAGTTGGAAAAGGTCTCTGAGATCTTGTTGTCCAACCCCAACCCATTCCACCATGCCCCCTGACCACATCTCACAGTGCCACGTCTCCATGGATCTTGGACACCTCCAGGGATGGTGACCCCACCACCTCCCTGGGCAGCCTGTGCCAATGCCCAACCTTTCTTTCTGAGAAGAAATTTTTTCCTAATACCCAACCTGATCAATCCAAAATGTCTTCAAGATGAATTTATGGCTCCAAGAAAAGAGCTGTGTCCTCCAGCTGGGTTGACCATGGGCACCTTCAGGTCATGCCCTCACCCCTCTTCTTGCTTCCTCAACTCCCTGCCCCTGCATCCCTATGGAATTGGATCCCGGTGGCTTGGGGATGAAGTTCAGCTGATCACAGAGCTTAATCCTCCAAAATTTTCCACCTTGTGGGAGGCCCAGCAGTTACTGAGACAGTGCAGAAGCTCCTGTGTGACGCTCCAATCCATCACCGGCCCTGCATCTGGCCACTATAATGAGAAAGACAAACAGCATCCATTCTGACTTGGCAGGGAAATGGGAAGGCAGCTGGGAGCCCTGCCTGCAAGCACAGCTACATCAAGCCTCAAGGGCAGAGGCTGGCCAGAAATCCTTGGTCCTTCACTTTTTTGGATGTGGGTAGAAGATCCCAGCCCTGTGGACGTCAAGCAATTGGTGGTGGCCAATGGCATTTGTTAACTCCAGCTGAACTGTGCTGCCATGGCCATGGTCAAAAAAGGTGACAGAGACAGAGCTCAAGTGCAGAAGGTTTTGCCTTCAAGGTGGAACTGGTCATCCTGAAAGTCACCCCAATGAGCACAGTGAGCCACCCAGCCCCTGCCTTATTTTTTCCACTGGTTTGGAATGCCAGCTCCTGTGATGCTGCTGTCCGTAATTAAAAGCTATGCAATCGCCCGTCGCTGGTCTCCCTGTGTCTGCTCATTACAGAGGAGCTTAGCTTAAAACTAATTCCCCGACTCAAAGGCAAGGGGGAAGGGAGATGCTTTAATCTCGAGACTTTTGTATTTGTCCTTCCCATCATCTCCCATTGGAAGCACAGCATGGGGCTGCAAGGTTCCTGGGTGCCCCAAAGCCTCATCAGGAGTGGGGCCAGGAGCATCACACACCCATCTCCTCCCAGATGTGCCTGCTTGCCTCGTGCCTGAGCTGAGCGATGCTCTGATTTTGCTGGTTTTCCAAATACAGGCTCAATTATTAATTATTATTAATTACTGTAATGTAGATTTATCTGTGAATAGCATCGCCTGGGCTCAGCAGGAACCCTTCTGGCTGCGCCCACGGCTAAGCTGGTATTGTCCCACATACTGGCACATGAGGTCGTTTGTTTTCCACCTGCTCCCCAGCGTGATGACAACCCTGAAACAGAGCCTGGTCCCTGCACTGCCTCTCAGTTGCCACCTCCAGCCCTAAAATCCCCCCTTAGAGCTGGAAAATCTCCCCCGAGGGGCAGGACAGATGTCGTTTTGTTTGTGGCCGCGCTGCCCCCAGGGCTCCTGGGGTGGGAAGGGGTGGCGGCACGGAGCATCCCATGCACTCTCAGCAGCACCCCTTGTCTGCTGGGACATAATGCCAGCGTGCCCCTCGGTGCCTAGGGAAAGCCGCCTGCCCTGCCAGGACCTGGTTCTGCTGGTAAGGATGTCGTAAGATGGGAACAGCAGGGGATGAGTGGTGGTGGCGGTGCTGTGACACTCATCCCTCTGGCCCGGGAGTGTGAGGGGTGACGGTGACAAGAGGACGTCACCTGGGTAACGTCAGAGTCGAGCTGCCGGTCTCACTGCAGCACTGCCATCTGCTGGGACAGCGTCAGGGGACGCGGGTGGGATTTCTGCTGCTGGCCAGGCAGCAGGGGATCGGGGAAGCTTCGTCTGCGGGCAGAAATTGTGGACCGAAGAGATACTGGGACAGGCTGGGGAGATGCTACGAGGTCCCTGGGATGTCCCTGGGATGTCCCTGGGGTGACCTCTGCATGTCTCTTTGAAGTCCCTGGGGGTCCTTTGAATTACCTGAGGAGTCCCTGGGATGTCCCTCACTGCTCCAGGTGCCCCAGCTCTGCCAGGCTCTCTCACCCTGCCCCCGCCACCCCTCTGAGATCACGGCCCCTTTGGCAACGATGTTATCCTGAGAATTAAATTGCATCCTGCAGTGATTTCACAGGGAGCACCTCCTGCATCTTGTGATCAGGCAGGGTCTGCCAGGGACACGGATGCACCCCCGGGGATAGGATGTGGGGCCAACCCCACGCCTCCCATTGTCAGCTCTGCAAGGGCACACCTCAACCCGCTGTTAAAATTCACAGCGCTTCCTCCTCCTAAAGCCACGCTCTGGGGAAGCCCCTGCTTTCCACAGCAGCAGCCCCAGGGACAGCAGTGGAACTCGACTCAGAGTTTCCAAAACCTTACAAGCTGTCAGACACGAGCACAGTGCTTCTAGAGAGGCTGTTGGTGCCCTGTGCCCGTGTTTGAGGCATTTGGGCAGCCCTCCTAATGATGTGCTTTAAGGTGGGGTGGTAGAACCACTGGCAGACTGTAGGCCCCTACACATCAGAGCTGTTATTCCCTTCCCTTCCCTTCCCTTCCCTTCCCTTCCCTTCCCTTCCCTTCCCTTCCCTTCCCTTCCCTTCCCTTCCCTTCCCTTCCCTTCCCTTCCCTTCCCTTCCCTTCCCTTCCCTTCCCTTCCCTTCCCTTCCCTTCCCTTCCCTTCCCTTCCCTTCCCTTCCCTTCCCTTCCCCTTTTTTTCTTTTTCTTTTTCTTTCATTCTTTTTCTTTCATTCTTTTTCTTTTTCTTTCATTCTTTTTCTTTCATTCTTTTTCTTTTTCTTTCATTCTTTTTCTTTCATTCTTTTTCTTTTTCTTTCATTCTTTTTCTTTCATTCTTTTTCTTTTTCTTTCATTCTTTTTCTTTCATTCTTTTTCTTTTTCTTTCATTCTTTTTCTTTCATTCTTTTTCTTTCATTTTTTCTTTCATTCTTTTTCTTTCATTCTTTTTCTTTCATTTTTTCTTTCATTCTTTTTCTTTCATTTTTTCTTTCATTTTTTCTTTCATTTTTTCTTTCATTCTTTTTCTTTCTCTTTCTCTTTTTTCTCTTTTTTTCTTCCTCATTTTTTCTTTTTCTTTTTCCTTTTCTTTTTCTTTTCCTTTTTTTTTCTTTCTCTTTCTCGTTTTCTATTTCTTTTCCTTTTTCTTTCATTCTTTCTCTTTTTCTTTCATTCTTTTCCTTTTTCTTTCTCTTTTTTTCTTCCTCTCTTTCCTTTTATTCCATTCTTTTTCTTCTCCTTTTCTTTTTCTCTTCCTCTTCCCTTTTCTATTCCAACGTTTCCCTACCGTTCTCACGCCCAGCCCCCGCCCCTCCCCGCACTCCACAGCCCCGCAGATCGCCCCCCCCCCCCCCCCCCCGGCCCCGCCCCGCTCAGCCCCCGCCCCCCCGGAGCCGCCTCCCCTCCCCCAACCTCAGTGCCCGCCCCTGGGAGCTGCAGCGGCTGCGTTATGGGGGCCTGCCTGGGGGTCTGCTCGGTTCTCAGCTGTGTGAGTGTCCCTGAGGGATGGGGGGGAGGCGGGAGAGGTGGGGGCTGCGCTGATTCCGAGAGCTGAGGTTGGGGGAGGGGTCCGGGGGAGCGGTGGGGACAACCGGGAGATGCGATCCGATGCAGCCGACGAGAAGCGGGGGAACAGCAGAGGAATGCCGCCCTTTGTACCCTGGAGGATGCGGGAACCCCTGGGAGGGGGGGGATGAAGGACACCGCTGGGGGTGTCCCCGTCTGTATCCACGAGGATGCAGGGGATCCCCGTGGGTTTACTCCTCTGTCCCCGGGCGAAGCAGGGGACAACCATTGCAAGGCAGCCCGTTGGCCCACCAGCCAAAGGGAACCCCGCGGGGTTTGTCCCACGTTGCAGGGGCTCGTTGATGGGGAGGGGGGAGTCCAGAGTATCGGGAGGAGCCCACAATATCGGGGCATCCCTATGGGATGAAACCTCTGTGGTGGGAAAAAGCTGTGCCTTCCCCTGCACCCACCTCCAGGGAGGATCGGGGCAGTCCGGGGGGGCTTCAGGGCGTCCCAGGAGGAGTTGTAGCCCTGATAGTCGGGGGGATGGGGGTCTGGCTGCTCCTGCTGCGTGGCTGCTGTGCTGGTGACACAGTTGGGCGCTCCCGGTGCTGTGCCCATGACGTACAGCCAGGGCAGGGCTGGGAAACCTTCCTGCCTGAATGGGAGCTGCTTTCGCAACTGGGCTTCGTAGTTTCAGAGGTGGAACTGTCGTAATGTATGGCCTGAGTGCAGTTATGTTCTGTGTGTCACGGCGCCTCTCCTCATGGGCACATAGTGGAAAAGCCAGGAGTGGGATTTCCACGGGCAGTGTGTGGTGCTGACCTGATTAGGGATTTTTTTTTCCCCTTCAAAAAAAAGCATTTTGGCCCAGGCTACAGGAACGAGGCAGAGTCACGTTCTTATAGGGTCTACACAGCTTTAGGACCCTGCATTTCATGTTGCTGTCAATGTGGCCATGGGGCAGTGCTGGCACCTACAATTGCCCACCTCCTGAACCCATGCTGACTGCATGCCTTGGTACTGATTAATCTGCAGGGTCATTCATTGAATGGGAGGCAACAACGGGTTGCTTGGCATTGCTTTGGGCTGACTCAGTCTGTGCAGCCTCAGGGGTACTGGGGTAAGGGCAGCCTGCGAGAAGAGGTGTTGGGTTGTTGTTGCTGTTGGTGGGTTGTTACTGAGTGCTTGCTGCTTTTTGTTGGGTTGGATCATAGCTGTTGTTTGTTAGGTTGTTGGGTTGTTGTTGGGCTGTTACTGAGTGTTGTTGCTGATTGTTGGGTCGTTGCTGTTGGTTGTTGGGTTGTTACTGAGTGCTTGCTGCTGTTGGGTTGTTGTTGGGTCATAGCTGTTGTTTGTTAGGTTGTTGGGTTGTTACTGAATGCTTGCTGCTGGTTGTTGGGTTGTTACTGAGTAGTTGCTGCTGTTTGTTGGGTTGTTGGTGGTTTGCTGTTGGCTTAGGACCTTGCAGACTGTTTTGCATTGTTTGTGCTCCCTGAGCTGCTGTTCCATGCAAGCCATGCTGGCACTGAGCTGTATTCAATGAGGAAGTCAACAGTGAAACCAGAGGGATTAATCTTTAATCTGCAGCAGCTGAAACCTGATGCTTCCCCATCACCACCTGCGTGCTGTGGCTGCTTCCCTTTACTGTTTTTCCACCCTGCAGGATGCTGCCTGCTCCCTTGAATGTGGGCTCCCCAGAACCTCATACGTGCAGCATACTGGTGCACCCATCCCAGCGAAAGCCATCTTAGGGACATGTCTTAGTGGGGGTGATGGGTTGATGGTTGGACTTGATGGGCTTAGAGATCTTTTCCAAGTGTAATGATCCTGTGAAAGTGGGGTGCATGAGGTCGTGTCTCCTGCACATCTTCAAGGATGCTCTCATGGGATGCCCTGCAGTATTCCCATAAGCAAGTGCATCTCCTGGCCATGCTCTTCTAGGGAGCTTCTTCCTTTTTCCTTCTCTAACCTTGCTGTTGATTTCTTTTTAAAGCAGCTGTGGGTGCTGGGGATGTGCACAAGCTGTGGTTGTCGCGTTAAAGGCGCCTTCACAGAAGTTGCAGAGCTCACAATGCCCAAAAAGCTTCAATATTGGGAAGTGACAGCAGTGACCCCCACATTCAGCACAACAAACTTCACGTTTGCAAGGCAGAAAGAGCAGTTCAAAGGGAAGAAAGGGAGCTTTGGAAGCAAAATAAATCAATGCTGTGAGCTTACAGGTAGAGGGAAATCAGCTCAAGGAGGACCAGAGAGGGGGACAAATGGGCAAATGTAGTTTTGGGTCCTTAGAGGCACCTTGCCATGGTGCTGGAATGGTGGTGGTGCCCCCACAATTGGCCTTGGCAGTTTAAGGGAAACTCAGAGGACACGTTATTCCCGTTTTCTTCTCAGATATTTAACTCAGGACCTTTCACTTGTATGGCACAGGAGAAGGTTAGTGGTCCAGAAACGTTCCTTGAAGTGTTTCTAATGTTACTTATTCTCCATCTTCACACTCCTTTAGGAAATAGGGGTTTTAGACATGGCCTCACGGCACTTTGGGGGTGATGAAGGCTGAAAATAATCCCCGATCTGTACAGACACATTCAGAGCAGGATATGGTGGCCAGAGCTGGCTGCTGGCCCTCTCCTGCCCCATAACCAACGTTACAGCATGTCTTAATGCAAAACCCTTTGGTTATTCTTCCTCTGAGGAAAGGAATATTGGCCGTTTGGGTGCTGCTTGGAGCTCTTCCAAACCTTGCAGGAATTAAATAGGTGTGTGAGTGTCCCAATTATTGGACAATCTAGTGGGAACAATATTTCGAGGAGCAATGAAGTCAAACTTGGACCAGAGATGCAAGCAACATCTCCCCAGTGCTCCTGCCACCGTGGTTTGTGGTATCCAGGGATTTGGGCAGCCAGGACTCGTAGGGTTACTGTTTGTTTTCCCCATCTGTAAAATGAACCCAGCAGCTGAGTGCATCCCACACTCCTTGCCACTTATCTCTGGGCTCCCATTGCAGGTGTCCTGCCTGTGTGGCTCAGCACCATGCCTGCTCTGCGGCTGCTGCCCCTCAGCCAAGAACTCCACCATCTCCCGTCTGCTCTTCACCTTCTTCCTCTTCCTCGGTACGCTGGTCTCCATCATCATGATCATCCCTGGGGTGGAGAAGGAGCTGCACAAGGTAATGCTGCTGCCTTCAGGGCGATGGCTGGATTTGATCAAAGGTGTGAACTCAGGATGGGGACATATCAGAGAGTGAATTTTTTGGGGCACGTCGTTGCTTGTGATGCCTTGTTTCCCATCTCCTCATCCTTGCAGCTCCCAGGTTTCTGCAAGGGCAGCGACTCAGTGCTGGGGGTCCAAGCTGACATCGACTGCAGTGGTTTCCTGGGCCACAAGGCCGTGTACCGCATGGGCTTTGCCACAGCTGCCTTCTTCTTCCTCTTTGCTGTGCTGATGGTGTGTGTGCGCAGCAGCAAGGACCCGAGAGCTGCCATACAGAATGGGTGAGCGTGTCCCCGTGCTTGGCTGGAAGCTTGGATGGAGGCTATTGCCATATTTTTGCCCTTTTTATTCTCATTTTGGGCATGGGATAAAGCAGAAGGGCAGTTTTGAGCTCACTCTTAGTTTTTAAGGTCCTCTGACTTGTGCTCCACAGTATTTGTGGTGTGTGCAAGTGCTGGGGAATTTGGGGTGTCTGCTGGGCATCCCTCTGACACTGCTCCCCATGGGGTGCCCCTGGCCCGTGGTCCTATCCAAGGAGCTGAGCATCCCTGGTGTTGGGAACTGCTGGGGGTTCCCATTTTCAGACCCAGACTCCTCTCTCCTCTTGCAGCTTCTGGTTCTTCAAGTTCCTGCTGCTGGTGGGGCTCACAGTGGGGGCCTTCTACATCCCTGATGGCTCCTTTACATCAGGTGAGGGGCTGTGGGTGGGCAGGGGGGTGCCCATGACATTTGTGCCCTCCTCACACTTGGTGCTGCCCTGATGCACCCCACACCATTGCAGTCCCATTATTGACCCACTTCCCTCCCACCACCCAAGTTTGGTTCTACTTTGGCGTGGTCGGCTCCTTCCTCTTCATCCTCATCCAGCTCATCCTCCTCATCGACTTTGCCCACTCCTGGAGTCAGCTGTGGCTGCGCAATGCAGATGAGAGCAATGCCAAGGGCTGGTATGCAGGTGGGTGCCGTGCCTCAGGGGCTCATGTGGGGCCAGCTGTGATGCTCGTGGCCCTGCTCCAGCCCCTTCCCTTCTCCCCTTACTCCTCAGCCCTTTGCACTGTCACCTTCATCTTCTATGCTGCCTCCATCACGGCCATTGCTTTGCTCTATGTCTACTACACCAAACCCCAGGGCTGCACGGAGGGCAAAGTCCTCATCAGCATCAGCCTCATCCTCTGCGTCATCATCTCGGCCGTATCCATCCTGCCCAAAATCCAGGTGAGGTGGTGGGAGGGGTGGCCTTGCTGGCTCCCCCTGGTGCAGGGCTGAGCCCCGAGCCATTCCCGTGCTGTTTGCAGGAAGCTCAGCCACACTCAGGGCTGCTGCAGGCATCTCTCATCACCCTTTACACCATCTTCATCACTTGGTGTGCCCTGGCCAACGTCCCCAGTAAGTGCTCTCATTGCCCTGGGGGGTGCATGGGGTCAGAGATGGCACTGACACCTTTGACCTCCACCAGCCCAGGAGTGTAACCCCACACTGCTGCTGAGAAACAGTACTGGCTCAGCTACAGCCCCACAGACAGTGACAACATGGTGGGACGCGCCGAGCATTGTGGGGCTGGTGGTCTTCATCCTCTGCACACTCTTCATCAGGTGAGGCCGTGACAATGCCTTCATGTCCCACAACGCTGGGACCCATCAGGGTCCTGCACACAGCTTTTAGGATGCCAGGAGGAGTTGCATGAGCTGCATCCCCCAGAGTGCTCTGCTGCCTCGGGAGCACCCCTGCAGGGCATCCCCTCACCTGCCCCATCTGTCTGCTCGCAGCATCCGCTCCTCAGACCACACCCAGGTCAATAAGCTGATGCAGACGGAGGAGAGCGGGGCTGGAGCTGGGACTGAGGCAGCAGCAGAGAGTGGGGTGCACCGAGCCTACGACAACGAGCAGGAGGGCGTCACCTACAGCTACAGCTTCTTCCACCTCTGCCTCCTCCTTGCTGCCCTCTACATCATGATGACCCTCACCAACTGGTACAGGTGGGCAGCGCTCCTGGGGACCAGTTGTGACCCTGTCCTCTGCTCCTCCCTTCTCCGGGATTATCATTGCTCTGGGGCTGGGCACAGGTGCTGGGATGGGTCCATATGTGAGCGAAGCTAATATGTAACCCATCAGCATTCGTTATTTGGAGGGATCCAAGCACCCAATGGATGCACTCTGGTTGGGTCTGAGTTTACTGGGTACCTCTTGCAGCATTCCTTTGGCTTGCAGCACTCCCTATAAGCTTACAGTGTACTCCCTCAGCTTGCAGCATCCCCCCACTTGCAACATCCCTGCTCTACTTGCAGCACCCCCTCTCTTCTTGCAGCATCCTCCCTGTGCTTGCAGGACACCCTTCAAGCACACAGCATCCCCCTTTGCTCACAACTGCTGCACCAAGGTCACATCCCCCAGCACATAGCACAAACCTGAATGTCCTCCTTTCGTTTGCTGTTCCAGGCCTGATGACAGCCTGCAGGTGCTGTACAGCCCCTGGACAGCCGTGTGGGTGAAGATCAGCTCCAGCTGGGCCGGGCTGCTGCTCTACGTGTGGACGTTGGTGGCCCCCCTGGTGCTGCCAGAGCGGGACTTCAGCTGAGCACTGCTGCAGGGTCCCCTCCTTGCCCAGTGCCTTACACCTAGACTCGAGTTTTGCACGTGGGTTTTGTGTCTTCTTGCAGGTTTTCCATTTTAATTTAAAAGGGATAAAGTGCCAAGCAGGGACAATCAGCGAAAGGACTGAGTATGACTTGAGGATTGCTGTAAAGCTCTTCTCCCTCTGTGCTTGTCTAGTGCCTTCAGCAGTGCCTCCAGCCCCTCCTCTTTCAGTGTTTGGAGGGAGTTGCAGAGGCTGCTCTCACCTGCCTTGGTGTCCTGGGACTTTGGTGCCTTTTGGGTGGTGACAAGGAAGCAGGACTTGGCACCAGGCACTTCCCCAGGGAGCCCTGAGGACAGCCATGCTGGGGGCTGATGTTGCTTGTGCCCCCTGAGCTTTGGTGGCTGGGTGGCTCCTGCAGGGCTCCCCCTGCCTCCTGCATAAAGTTTTGTTTGGAAAAAAGCCCAGACACCCTTGTGTCCTCTTGGGGTCTCTCGTCACGTGCGTTCATGGTGGCTGCACAGTGGGACATCACCTGCATTGTGCGTGCTCTGTGCATCACCTTGCATCCTGCAACCTTTGGTCTGCATCTTGCATCCTTCCTCCTGCATCCCAGTACTCTTCAGCCTGCTCTGTGCACCCTGCAGCCTTCACCCTACAGCCTTCATCCTGCAACACACATCCTTCATCCCTACATCCTTCATGCTGCATCCTACACCCTGCATCCTCTCGCATCCTGCATCCTTCACCCTGCATCCTTCACCCTGCATCCTTCACCCTGCATCCTTCACCCTGCATCCTTCACCCTGCATCCTTCACCCTGCATCCTAGCATCCCACATATCACATCCTCTTATCCTTGCATCCTTCGTCCTCCGTCCTAGCATCCTTCATTCTGCATCCTTCATCCTGCATCATCCGTCCTTGCATCTGGCCCCCTGCATGCTCCACCCTGCATCCTTCATCCTACATCTTGCACCCTGCATCCTTTTCCCCTGCACCCTGCATCCACACATTGCATAATTTCTCCCACACCTCTGCAGCCTCTGGAACGTGCAGGGCTGCATCCCAGGGACAAGCTGTGCACCGCAACGGGAACGAGGGGCGGGGACGTGCGAGGTCCCGTTGGTCGCCACGAGGTGGTGCTGGCGGCACGCGCCCAGCGTCCTCCTGCAGAAAGCAACCCTTCACCGTGCATCCTGCACCCTGTATCCTGTATCACGAGTTGGGCTTGCTGCACCTTTCATCCTTCACCCTGCACCCTTCTGTCTGCGCCCTTAAGTCTGCATGGTGCACCCTGCAGGCTGCATCTTTCATGCTGCACTTTACAATCTGCATCCTGCAGCACCCATCCTGCAACCTCAGCATGCACAATGCATCCTGCACCCTTTACCTCATGCCTACATCCTGCACTGTCTCATGCATCCTTCATCCAACACCCTTCACTGATCATCCTGCTCCCCACATGTTGTGTCCCACATTCCTACATCCTTCGCCCTGCACCTTTCACTGCACATCCTGCACCCTTCATCCTGCACCCTGCGTGTCTGCTGCACCCTGCATCCTTCATCTTGCATCCTGCACCCTGCATCTTGCATCATCTATCCTGCATCCTCACCATGCACAATACATCCTGCATCCCTCACTTTGCATCAAGCACCGTGTCATGCATCCTTCACCCCACACCCTTCATCCTTACCCCTTCACCACTCATCCTGCACCCCATACTTTGCCACCTGCACTCTGCAACCTTTCTGCATCCCCCAGGTGTGCTGGGCTGTGTGAGCAGAGCTGGGCTGTGACGTGCCCTACGTGTGTCCCTGTGTGTCCCCATGTGCACCACAGGCAACTGCAGAAATAACCCACCAGCAATTATCATTCTCATGAGTTTTCTTGGGGAGATTTGAATGGCCCAAAGCACTGCTATGGATTTATTTCACTGACGTCTCCTCTGCAGTATTTATCACAATGCAAACAGCCTCCGCTCTTCATTTTCTTCATGGAACAGTTCAGCCAATGCATCCCAATGGCAAACCCAACTCTAATTGCTGTAATTACTCCAATTCACCCTTCTTGGTTGGGGCAACTCAGAATTACAACCTCAGGGAACAATGGACAGAGGACAAGAAATCAGGAAAGGGTAGCAGGAGACCTGTGTGGATGAGCAAGGAGCTCGTGCACAAACTCAAAGGAAAGAAGAAGGTCCATGAAATGTGGAAAAAGGGTCTGAGTGCTTGGGAGGAATATAGAAACGTTGTCAGGGCCTGCAGGGATGCGACGAGGAAGGCTAAAGCCCACCTGGAATTGAATCTGGCACAGGTGATAAAGGATAATAAAAAAGGCTTTTTAAAGTGTGTTAACAGTAAAAGGAAGAGTAGGGAGAATGTGGCTCCCCTGCTAAGTGACGGGGTGTTCTGGTAACGGGGGATGCTGAGAAGGCAGAGATACTGAATGCCTTCTTTGCTTCTGTCTTCAGTGAAAAAGCTCTCCCTTGGGAATCTGAGACCTTGGAGGTCAGTGAGAGGATCTGGGGAATGGAAGACCTCCCTGCAGTCAGGGAAGAGGCGGTCTGAGAGTGCCCAGGCAACACCAGTGTTCACAAATCCATGGGACCCGATGGGATGCATCCACGGGTGCTGAAGGAGCTGGCAGAGGTGATTGCTGAGCCGCTTTCTGTCATCTTTGAGAGGTCTTGGAGAATGGGGGAGGTGCCTGAAGACTGGAGCAGAGCCAGTGTCACTGTGGTCTTCACAAAGGGCAAGAAGGAAGATCCAGGTGATTACAGGCCAGTCAGCCTCACCTCTGTCCCTGGAAAGGTGATGGAACAGCTGTGCTGGATGTCATCTCCAGACAACTGGAAGAAGAGGAGGTTATCAGGAGTAGTCAGCATGGGTTCACCAGGGGGAGGTCGTGCTTGACCAACCTGGTGCCCTTCTATGATGTTGTCTCTGGCTGGGTGGATGGGGGGAGAGCAGTGGATGTAGTCTACCTTGATTTCAGCAAGGCTTTTGATCCTGTCCCCCACAACATCCTTATAACAAAGCTGAGGAAGTATGGGATAGACGAGTGGACAGTGAGGTGGGTTGAGAACTGGCTGACTGGCAGAGCGCAGAGGGTTGTCGTTGGCGGTGCAGAGTCTGGCTGGAGGCCTGTAAGCAGCGGTGTTCCTCAGGGGTCTGTGCTGGCTCCAGTCTTGTTCAACATCTTCATCAATGACCTTGATGAGGGGATGGTGGCCACCCTCAGCGAGTTTGCTGATGATACGAAGTTGGGAGGATTGGCTGACAGCCTGAAGGCTGTGCTGCCATTCAGCGAGACCTGGACAGGCTGGAGAGCTGGGCAGAAAAAAACCAGATGAGGTTTAACAACAGCAAGTGTAGAGTCTTGCATCTGGGGAGGAATAATTGCATGCACCAGTACAGGTTGGGGGATGAGCTGCTGGAGGGGAGCTCTGCGGAGAGGGACCTGGGTGTCCTGGGGGACGACAGGTTGCCATGAGCCAGCAGTGTGCCCTTGTGGCCAAGAGGGCCAATGGCATCCTGGGGTGCATTGCAAAGAGCGTGGCCAGCAGGTGGAGGGAGGTGATCCTCCCCCTCTGCTCTGCCCTGGTGAGGCCTCATCTGGAGCACTGTGTCCAGTTCTGGGCTCCCCAGTACAAAAAAGACAAGGATCTCTTGGAAAGAGTCCAGCGGAGGGCCACCAAGATGGTGAAGGGCCTGGAGCATCTCTGCTATGAGGAAAGGCTGAGTGAACTGGGTCTGTTCAGCCTTGAGAAAAGGAGACTGAGAGGGGACCTGATCCAGGTCTATCAGTATCTAAGGTGTGGGGGGCAGAATGGCGAGGCCGGACTGTTTTCAGTGGTGAGTGGAGACAGGACAAGGGGAAACGGCTGGAAACTGCAGCATAGGAAGTTCTGCACCAATGTGCGCAAGAACTTCTTTACAGTGAGGTGAGGAGCACTGGAACAGGCTGCCCAGGGAGGTGGTGGAGTCTCCTGCTCTGGAGATGTTCAAGACCTGCCTGGATGCCGACCTGTGCGACCTGCTATAGGGAACCTGCTTTGGCAGGGGGTTGGACTCGATGAGCTCTGGAGCTCCCTTCCAACCCCTACAATTCTGTGATTCTGTGATTCTGTGAATGAGAGTAATGTGAGGAACTGAGGAAAACTCCACAGCTTGCTTCACCAAAGGTGGCTGTGATCATTGCCTTGCTAAATTCAGTGGGGTGAAACAAAGCAGAGAGGGGTCAGGGCTAAAATCTCACAGGGCTGTCACCCTCCTTTGGGTCACAGCAGAGTCGGGGATCTCAGTGACATCACCTGAAGGCAGGAGGGCCCTCATGCCCAGGGGGTCCCAAGCAGAGCCCCGCAGCAGCGATTTGTTCTGTGCAGTGCGTGCTCTCTCCTGGTTTTATTTTATTCATGGGATTAACACATCGGGCAGCAGCCTGCCTGGCTTTTGCTCTGAAGAGGAGGGGAAAGCGTTTCCATAATTCATTTAAATGAGGCACCCAGGGAAATCCAAATTGGACTTCCAGCCTGTTCACGGTGCCACGCAGAGCCCTGCGATCTGCAGCCAGAGCCATTAATGCCTCCCGGATGGACTGCAGAGCATCTATAATTAATAGTGGAGCAAAACCACGGCCCAGCCTCCAAAGCGAACACCTCCTGCTCTGAGCAGCTCCTGCACCCCACATCCCTGGGGCAGGGATTTATTTCAGGTCACCTTCCTCTCCCAAGAAGCCCAATGGAGCATCCAGGAGAACACTGGGGTGAGAGCAGCAGGAGAAGGAACCCAAAAATGCATTAAATCACAGCTCTTTTCTGGCCTGGGGGATGAGGGTGGTGGTGAGGAGGATAAGGTTTGCATCAGCCCCTTTTTTGCTGCTGCATTGGATGTTCTCCACGCAGAAGGTAGCAGTTTTGGGGCCAATGGCAGCCCACGTGCTGCACATCCCCCTCCTGATCCCTGTGCTGCTTCTGTACTTCCAGCACTGCCTTTCTGTACTTCCAGCATCGCTTTGAAGAGCAGAGAAAGGATGAGAAGGAAGACAGGGGAAAAAAAATCAAGCTTGAACCCTGCTGCTAGAGCAACATCTGTATCTATAAATACCAATGTGAGCAGGAACAGGCTGTATCTCCTGCAGCTCCCGAAGGCAGCAGAGCCTCCTCGCCCCAGCTAACCTCCTTCCAACACATGCTCCTGTAATGCACACAAGTCACTGCTGCACAAAAAAATCTCTTTAGCTCACTGCCTCCTGCTTATGGCTTTCCCAAAGCTCCCTCGTCCCACGTCCCCTCCCTGGGACACCATGTCCCATGCTCACCTCTTTGGATGGGGCGGGCTGAGCTTCTCCATGCCACGCACGCACTTTGCTGATGTTTATAATGGTGCTGTGGTTGGTGTTGGCTCTGCCCTGGTGGTGCCAAGCAGAGGCTTTCTGGACCTCAAAATCCAGGCTTAGAGTCTGGAGACATGCGGCCAGCCTTGGATGACCCAAATTCTTGCTCAGACAACACCGAGGTCGCGAGGGGGTGATGAGCTTGCTGGGACCCCTCCGTTCTCCACATGCTGTTTGAGTGAGGGTGCAGCACGCCGGGGTCATCCCACATTGCTCATCACACCAACCCAACTTCATCCCTCTTCCATGGCAGGAGGCAGCACACACATGCACTGCGCTTATGGACATTTCCTTTCTGATTTCCAGCTAAAATGCCTTCCTCCAGCCAGACCCCCTGCCCCTCTGCCTATCTGAGCAACCTGGCTTTCTGTGGTGCTTCTTTTGGGATGCTTTTTGTTCACACAGCACCGCTGTTGTGCTTTATTTCTGATATGATCTATGCTTTCTGTGTTTGGATGTGGGCCACGAGCATCCTCTCCAGCCTGGGGCTGAGCGCAGCATCATTTGGCTCATGGAAGAGGGGCTGAGCTCTCCCAGCTCAAAATATCCCCTTGGGGCTGAACGAGTGGAGACATTTGCTCCAACAGACGCTTGCACCTTTAGTTCTATCATTCAGCTGCGTCCCATTTGCAGGGTTTTTTTTACCTTTTTTTTTTTTTTTTTTTTTTCATTCCCTTTGGCTCTTTTCCACCCAAAATGCCAGCAGAGAAGCAACACATCACGTCCCAGCCTTGCAGAGCCTGGGCTGCCTCCAGGTCCCAGAGAAACCCCATCCTGGAGCATCATCCCCTGCTGCTCAGCACGTAGGGCTGCTGCTCCAGATGTCTGTGCTGACGGAGCTGTGTGGCTCCAACGTCACTCTGTTCCGTGGGGTTTTCTTGGGGGCAGCTCTGAGACTTTTTCCTTTTTTTTTTCTCCTTTTTTTGGCCTTTTTTTCTTTTAGTTCTCTGTCCTCTCTGTGTCAGCCTTGCCTATCTCTGCAGATAGGGATGTGCAGCTCCCCACGTCCGCAGGGGCTCTCCAGCCCCATGAGTGCCACCCCTAGTGACATCGGCGTGGTCATGATTAATGTCACAAAGCAAATACTGTCCTCAATTCCACACTCATGACACCAGAGAATTGCAATGCAAGAAAACAATTGCTCATCTCAGTATCCAGAAAACAGGAATCCCCCCCTGCCTGCTTGCAGAGGGCCCTTTGCTGGAGCTGCAGGTGTGACGTGCATACAGGCTACAGCTGGGTGCTTCCAGAACCTTGTAGTTCAATCCTTGCATACTTGCACTGATAAATGGCTTCTTCTGCACTGAAAAGTCTCTGCTGTTGCTCTGGAGAGAAGCTTCAGGTTGTGTCCTATGGTGTGCATGTGGGGTAAAACCTGGTGCGTGGCAGTGCCCACTGCTACATGCCCACAGCCTGGATTTGCAAAAGGATTTAAGGGCTTATCTCCTGCTGCTCAGGCACCCAAGTGCCTTTGAGGGCTTGGGCAGGAGGACTGATGTGCAGCTTGGCAATCTCATTTTGTTGCTTGCAATGGAAACAGCTGAGACCTGAGGACAGAAGTGCAGCTCTGCATGGTGTGATGCCTGTGGATGCTGCAGTGAGCTGGGACCTGGTTTGGTGGCTTTGCATTGATATTCCTTAGTGCCAGTTTGAATCATGGAATGGGATGGAATGGAATGGAATGGAATGGAATGGAATGGAATGGAATGGAGTAGAGCAGGTAGAAGTAGAGTAGGGTAGAATAGAATGGAATAGAATATCCCCAGTTGGATGGGACCCACAAAGACCATTATGTCCAACACTTGGTTCCACACAGGGCTACCCAAAATCTCAGTTGTATGCCTGAGAGCTTTGTCTTCTCTGTTTATTTTTTGGAGTGAGACATTTAGTCAAATTGCCTAAAAATTGCCACTGAACACACATTTGTGTGCTGGAGACCACAAACCCCCCCAAATCTCTGCTTTGGGG